TTCAACGAGCAATAGGCCGGCCTCAGTACTCCAAGGACCGGGTGCTCCCGCCTATGACATCAGGCAGCGAGACGACCGGAGAGAGGCCACAAAATCTCGGCTTACGTAGGGGGCCATTGTAACTGGATATGACGAACACATGCACGATACGACATGGAGGCTGTTTGTTAATCACTGCGTATAATGTCAAAAGACCCTCCCTAGACGTCGATCATCACGCCCTTCTTGAAGCTGCAGATCGCATGAAATTTCATGTGATCGCACTACAAGAAACAATAATCAAGAAGGCTGACATACGCCAACTAAACAACGGGACCCTTGTAATCCGTGGAGAAAAGGTCCCGTCACGAAATGTGGGTGGTGTAGGCTTTGTCGTCCACCAGTCCATTGTCCATCTCGTCGACTCATACGTAATCCTTTCCCCTCGCATAGGCGCCCTCCGTCTTCAACTGTCGCATCATGAGAAGATCACTATCATCAACTGCTACTCACAGACCGACGCAGCTGATGAGTACGAATTAAATGCGTTCTACTATCAGTTGGAGGAAGTCATCCGCAATTATAAAACATATCAAAAATTTGTTGTTAGAGAGTTATGGAATAGAAAAGCCCAACGAGAGTGAATACAGGATCGGAAGTTTTGGATTGGGAGAAAAAAATGAAAATGTGGGAAATGTCTCGCATGATTTCTGTCCGCAGCGCGTCTCTTCCATGGAAACACGTTTTTCCAGAAGAAAGAAGCAGCCGCTAGACATGGGAGTCTCCTAACGGATTGACTCATGCGGAGATCGACCACATTCAGACAAACAGAAGATGCTACCTTCTTGACATATTGGTAGTACCGTCATTATGTACTGGTTCTGATCACCGCCTTCTTTACACGAAGACTCGATTCAGCCGTAAGTTGGAAAAGAATTCATGTCATCGATGATGTAGAAAGAGTCTAACTGTTTTTGAAGAAAACATCCTGAGCCAAATCCTTTCTAAACGTGACTGATAGATTAGCCAAGACCCGACCGATGTCTCTGTGCCCCTCGTCGAATAACTGAAAAGTTATGGCCACTTCACTACAACTCCTCAAGCAAGAACTTCGGATGGCATCTCCATTTACATTAAGAAACTACTTGAGAAAAAGAGTAAATTGAAGATTGATCTACTTCAGCACGTTTAACACGGCTAGTAGCAAATACCAGTTTCGGAAAAGCTTTGTAGGAAGATTTACATCGGTACAAGCAAAAGAAACTACTGAAAGCAGCAGAGAAAAGAAGCAGTCTGAAAAAAAATGTTCTCGGCACTTGTGTGATTATGATCTTCCGCTGTCAGTCCCGATGAACGAAGATGAAGTCGTCAAAACAACTCGCCATGATATGGAATTATTCACGGAGACGTTCTACACCAACCTTTTCCGTTCCACGATTCCGTCCAGTTCCCTAATATCCCCGCTGGAAACAAGCCACCTGAAATTCTTCCGTCCGAGGTTCGGGTTGCGATAGAAAGCATGAAAAGAGGCACAGCTCCAGGATTCGATGATATCGCTGCCGATATCCTTAGAGGTGGAAGTCACGACTTACATGTACTTTTCCCAAACTGTGTGATAGTCTGCGGAAAAAGTCCCAGACCAATGGAGAATGTTGCGCACGGTCATCTTGCCCCAGAAAGGTGACCGAAGGGATCTTCTTGGCTATAGACGAATATGTTTGTTGAGTGTCCTGTACAAGCTCATCACGAAAACTATCGCTTCGCGCGTATCACGAAGATTGGATGAGGCCCAACTATTGCAACAAATAGGATTTCGAAAATAATTTTGCTACATGGACCACATCCAAACCATGTCCAGGGTCATTGAAGTTTGTCGGGAAAACCACTTGCTTTTAGTCGTAACCTTTATCGACTATGAAAAAACGTTTGGCATCGCCAAAACTAATGCAATCATATCAGCGCTCGTCGACCAAAGAATGGACTCGTCCTACTTAAGAACTTTGTCTGACTGTTATCGGAGCTGCACTACGAAATACAGCTTTTCCTTCGAACTCTTACCATAACTATAGCAAAATCGGTTCGACAAATCGACATAATAGCGCAAAAGCTGTTTAGTGCCACACTCGATTGGGATCAGAAAGGCATACCTACTGATGAAAATTTTCTACCAAATCTTTATTTCGCCAATCACATCGTCATGAAATACTAGCGAAGCAGAGACGATTATTAACGAGATCAACAAAGCGAGAAAAAAAGATTGGACTACGCGTCAATCGAAAGTTCATAAAGACTAAAAAATGCGATGACAAGAAAATTGAAATGGATGGCTCTCTGATTGCAAAGACCACCTTATACGTATGCGTTGGGCGATCAATACACATCAAGAACAACACGGACGAAGAGCTGTAGAGATGAAGGAAAGCACCCTTACGCCGCTTTCGGACCTTTAAAGGAAGCTACCGACCAACTTAGGGTTTTAAAAATTTGCGCTCACCGTTTCGATTCGACGGTCCTGCCAGCGTTTTGTTATGCCGCTGAGACAGAGGTTAATACTATAGCCACGTCGAGAATAGTCCGCACCACTCACAGAGCGCTTGAACGATGTATTCTAAAGTATAACCGGCATTCATAATATCTAGCGGGAATGCGAACTCCTGATCTTCGAAATCTACCAGATCTTCGAGATCGCGAACAATATACATCGGTAGCTAAACACAGATAGGCCAGACACATAATGAAAAGAAGAAGGGCCGATTGACAAAAAAATGTAGAGTGAAGAATGCAGGCGTTCCCAAGGACGGCCACCTACACTTTGGGCGGACGTGTTGCTAACCAAGGTTTGTGGGCTGTGATCGCAGCTGCAGTTGTTTTACAGATAACAGTATGATACTCGCATGCGCCACCATGCTCGAATAAAGCCATCATAATGGAAGACTGTTGCGAGGGAAGGAAACAAACGGCAATTGCAACGGGGTCATCACAACTGGTGAGGACGGACCATCCAGGTATCCAAGTATAGGTATCATACTGTATAAGTGTAGTAAATCCAAAATACTAAAATGTAACGTTAATTCGTTTTAACTAAACTTCAGTTGATCGTATTTATAGCCTACTATTAAGAAAGAGAAACACTACTCATAAGTTGTTGTGTTTACAAGATGAATTTTAAAAAACAGGCCCAAAATTTTTGTAGATACCACTTGGTGGCGAAAAGTCAATTGGTGGTCAAATATGGGACTGCAAAAAACTGGAAAATGGCAACATTCACTTTGGAGCAAGAGCAAAAAGCGCATGTGATAGTAGCCAATATGGTGTGTAAACCAATATCATACCATATGCAGAGCAATTTGGTGAAGGAAGATTTTTTTTGAAGCTTTAGAAAAGAATGACGAAGACGAGTTTTGAAAATCTGGAGCTAATGTCTACTTTTCATTTGCAGCCTACTACAATTTATCAAGGGAGGGTATTATACGAAATTCAACCACAACGCTGCTGAGATAATTGCAAAACTCCGGACCGCAGGTTTTCGCGGTGGGGAACGAACGCGCTATTGTTCTTTCGGGGAGTAACGCGTTCACCACCACACCATGCGGGTCCTTCGTTTCACCTGTCTCTCGGCTAGTTTTCTATCGATCAGTGCCAGCAGCAATCACCCGTCAACGGAATTGATCTGGGGAGCCCAAATCGATCAAGAAAGTCACCAATTTCTTTTCATTTTGATGTTTTTTGATTTTACCTTTCGATTTTTCGAAAAGCCTTCTTTAATCTGGAAGAGCCTTCTGTCTCAGCGCATGCGTTACGTCGCTGGCAACTTACTGGATGCACAAGATGTACCTTCCTTGTAATATCAGAAGTCATTTGAAGTTAAACCATTTTGTCACCATTCGCCATCCAACAGCTATGTTTCTGCCAGAACAACATTAAGTTTTGGAAATAGCTTAAAAATATCTTTCTTTCTCGATGAAGTGTATAATTCCTTCCCATTTCGAATGACAATGCTACGGTGACAAAGACTATTGAGGTTCATAACTCAGAAGCGTATCTCCCACCAAGCATGAGGTGATAAACATCTGGGGTGGTTGGTACTTTTGCACTAAATTGTTATAAAATGAGTAGATTATTTTAAAATTAAAATGACGGCATTCGACCATTCGGACTTGTATTATTTGGTAGAACATATTCCACGATTTCAATGAACAAATAGCAACGATGGGTTTCATTGATGGACGCTCAACTTAGAGAACGACAACTAATGTGGATCCGCATGTGAGACAGCTCTTGAAAAAATAAATATTTTACTATTTTACAAGAGTGATCTTCATACGCAGATCTCACTGGTTTTGGGATTTGATTTATTTTCTCGCATGCAACGTGGTCAAAGGTCTTCGAAGGTTTCTTGTGTGGGCACGGTTGCTACTTGAGAATTGACATTCTTCTTGTAAATGTCGCTGAACACTGGTCGAGTGAGTTCTCCCTGCCGTGTATGAGAGGTGCAGTAGAGCAGTCCCAATTGGATTGCAGTTGGTAAAATGTTCTTAGAAGTCTCTGGCAACAATTTTCCGACGGCGGAAGAGCTAGAGGCTTGTTTCCTCGGTGTGCGGTCGTGACAGAATCGTGGCCGTGACGGAAGGCTTTGCTGCGCGACTATCCTGCGTGTGTTACACATGAGCCTTACTGATAACAAGCCTTCGCCTTCGGTATGTCTGTCGAGAAAAGAGAAAGCAGCTGTTGTTTAAAGCTAAAAGAAAGATTTAAAATAAAACAACTGGTTTTCTATCACTTAGCGATAAACAATCTCTGTTGCCAATAATGTAGTTCATAAGAAGTTTGACAAAAGAATGACAAAAGAAAAAGACAAAAGAAAAGAAAAAAAAATCACAATAAAGTCCGCATGCAAGTAAAGGAATTTCTTGTTCGTAAAATTGTTGTGGTGAAGGAGGTTTATTGAACGCTTTTGAGCGAAGAATTGCATTGTGAGTAGAAGGAACACTGATTGTTAGGTAACGATATTGCACGACAGCATGAAAGTTTCTCATGAAGGGAAATTGATCGCAGCCTTCTATTTTGATCAAATCGAAGACTTCATCGTGTACGTATTGAAAAGATGTTGTGGACGACAATGGTCATTTTTTTTTAGCTATTTGTCATCCCATATGGAGAAATTAACACGAAAAGTGAAATATTTTCTGTTTCAGGTTTTGTGTGGCAAGAGGAGTGGCTGCAATATCGTTGTGGTGAAGGAGGTGTGAAAGAGTTCTTGGGTTGCATCACAGAAACGGGAATATTCATTAGAAATGGAGATATGAAATTGGTAAGTTAAGAACAGATCATCTCACGAAGCTGTGAAGAAATTCTAGTGGTTTACTACTACTTTTTAACAATGAGAAAAATATGTTTGGGATATCTGGTGCACCCAATATGTATATACACACTTTTAATTTTTTCCGTGTAGGTGGATGGTGCCTATATCCAGTGTAAGAAGCATGAGGACGGTTCCGTGGTACTGCAAAGTGCTGGTAGACGAAATAATACTAAATGCAAAGATAGCGAAGGACAGGAGAGGGAAGAAGGTATCCCTTTAATCATTTTTGCTACTTTTCGAATCCTTATTGTTGTACAAGAGCATGTACGGTTAGCGCTGAATAATAGTCGAGGTTGTTCATTTGCAGTCTTAACAGCCCTTATCTTTGACACTTCTTTGTGTAGTTAATGCTTTGATGTTGCCAAATATAGTAACCAAATTAGAAATGATTCGCTGCATCATAGCTAGTAAGAGATTGAAACGTGCAATCTTTCCTGTTTTAGGTTCTGATTGGAAAGAGGGATCGCTACAATTCAAATGTGGTAAAGGAGGTGTGAAAAATTTTATGGGTTGCATCACAAAATCCGAAAGATTTATCCCATATGGAGAAGTGAATTTGGTAATGTTTAACGTTTTGTTTTCTGCCTTCTATAATTTTCATGGCAGGTTACTAAGCGAAATACAACCACAACGTTGCTGAGATATTTGCCACGGGTGATTGCTGTGGCAAAAAGATCGATAGAAATAGCTGAGAGACGTGCGAAACAAAGAACCCGCATGGTGTGGTGGTGAACGCGTTACTCCCCGGAAAGGATAATAGCGCGTTCGTTCCCCACCATAGGCACCTGCAGTCCAGAGTTTTGCAAATATCTCAGCAACGTTGTGGTTGAATTTGGTAAGTTAAACACAGATAGTTTGATGAAGCTTGGAAGAAAATCTAGTGTTTCACCAGGCAATTTGTAATAAAGGATACTCATGGATTCTTTGCATTGTTATCTAATACAAATTTGTATTGTATAGGTGAACGGCAAGCATATAAAATGTGAAAAACTTGCGGATGGTACCATAAAGATGAATATTGTTAGCAGATCCAAATGTTATGCGAAGTGCAGAGATAACGAAGGACGTGGGGTAACTGAAGGTATCCTTTTAATCATTTTTGCTTTAGTGTTATTACCTATATCCGGATAAGAAATAGGATGGCTAGCAGTCGGTTAATAATCGACGTCATTAATACGCATTTATTATGGGGCTCATCGTCGATACTTCTTTGTGTTGTTAATCCTTCAATATTTTAAAATGCACTGGATAGTCTTAAATTAAATCACTATACCACAGCCAGAAAAAAGCACAATGTGGAGCATTTTTCTCTCAGGTTTCAAATGGAGAGTGGGATCACTACAGCTTAGGTGTGGTGAAAACGGTGTAGAGCTCATGGGTTGTGTAACATCACATGGAATCTTCATTCCAAGTGGAGAAGTGAAGTCTGTAAGTTGAATCAAGAGAATTGCGCAAGCTGAGATAAAACGTTAGTGTTTTATTATCCTCTTTATGGTGAAAGGAAAAGTTCATGTATTTTGCATTTATTAACACACCTTTCTACTGTCAAATTCTTTCTTATAGGTGGACGGATACAATGTGAAATGTGAAAGGTCTATGGACGGCCTCGCAACGATGAAGATTGTTGGCCGATCCACGTGCATACGAAGTCGATTTAAACAAACTCAATTAAAACTCAATTAAAGATTCTCATGTAACAAGTTCAGCGTTCGAATTAGAAGTGTTAATTTCCTACTGCACTTCTTTAGCTGTATTTATCGTTTAATTCTCTGTAACCATTTTGTCGCATAAAAGCAGAAAATTAACACGGAAATGCAGTTCAACAGTTCAACAGCGCAAAGTAGGAATGCAAGAGAACAATCTTGTGCCTTGAGTGTGTGTGTGTGTGTGTGTGTGTGTGCGTCATGGAGATTATTGAGCCTCTACTTCAACGTCCGAAGAGAATAAGACCAGAACACCTGAACAAAATAATCCCACCAGTCCTCGTTAACATATTGGCTCGGCTCTTCACACGTTACCTGTCTGAATGCAAGGTCCCTCCTACTCAGTGAAAGACCAGGAAGACCATGTTATTGTTTAAGAATAGTGACCTACACTATATAGGCAACTATTGCCCAATCTGCTTGCTGTCTGTTGTATACAAAGTTTTCACTCGAGTCATCATAAACAGTATTGACAGAACACTACACGAAGGACAGCAATATCAGCAAGCAACGCTTCGAAAACGATTTAGTGCGGTGGACCCACATCCACGCGATAACTAGACACTGAAATATCGCGAGAGTACAAAAGGCCGCTCCATCTCACTTTTATCGATTTAAAGAAGGCTTTTGACTCACGCTATTATCCTTTCCGGGGAGTAACGCGTTCACCACCACACCATGCGGGTCCTTTGTTTCGCACGTCTCTCAGCTATTTCTATCGATCTTTTTGCCACAGCAATCACCCGTCAGCGGGGTTGATCTGGGGAGCGCAAATCGGCCTAGAACCCAGTTAAGCTATGGCTGTAGTTGAAATCACAATGTTTAACGTTTTGTTTTCTGCCTTCTATAATTTTCATGGCAGATCGATAGAAATAGCTGAGAGACGTGTGAAGCAAAGGACCCGCATGGTGTGGTGGTGAACGCGTTACTCCCCGGAAAGGATAATAGCGCGTTCGTTCCCCACCATAGACACCTGCGGTCCAGAGTTTTGCAAATATCTCAGCAACGTTGTGGTTGTATTTCGCTTTTGACTCAGTTGAGATAGAAGCAGTCATGGAACCCATTGGTAATCAGGGAGTTCCTACTCAGTACATAAAGATTCTTCGTGAGTTGTACAAAAATTTCACAACCAATATATCACCATTGTACAACGATATCATTGATGTTAAAAGAGGGGTTAGGTAAGGCGATACCATCTCGCCAAAATTATTTGGCGCTACCCTCCAGAACGTCATGCGAACATTGGTATGGAATAATATGGAAGTGAAAATCGGTGGTCGGCAGTTACATCATCTTCGCTTTGCCGATGGCATCGTCCTTATAATATCAAACATTAGCCAAACGGAACGTATGCTTGCCGACTTTGGTAAAGCCTGTGGAAAGATTGGTCTTCGACTAAATCCCATAAAAACGATCTTCATGAAGAACGGATTGGCTTCGTATGCCCCATTATCACTCAACGAAACGAATATCTCTGAATGCACCAGTTATATCTATCTAGGCCGTGAAATCAATATGATGAACGACTCAGCTCCAAAGCTAAGCAGAAGGAAACGATCGGCCTGGGAAGCTTTCAACAGCACCGAGGATGTAATGAAGAGAACAAAGAACACCCGACTCCGTGCCCACCTTTTCGACTCAACGGTTCTTCCTGCCCTTACGTATGCGTTAGTAACCTGGTCGCTGCGTAAGCAGGATGAAAGATCACTCAGCGTTATTGAACGGGCAGTCGAAAGATGATGCAAGGAGTATCCTGTTTCATACAAGTAAGGGATGGAATCCAAGGGTCCGACCTGCGTCAACGGTCAAAAATCACAGATGCAGTTCTGTACGCCAAACAGACGAAGGTGAGGTAGGCCGGACATGTAATACGTATGAATGACAACCGATGGACAAGAGCCATTAGTGACTGGATTGCTTGGGATGTTAAACCCTGCAGGAAGACCACCAACTCGATGGTTAGAGTTTTTCACGAAAAGCATAGAAGTAAGATATGATACTCGATGAGTCCCTACAGCGAGCAGAACCCATTGGCCTACTGTTGCACGCGACAGGGAAAAATGGAAGATTTACTAACACCCGCTCGAGTCACTCGACAGTCAACGGGACTAGACGTGATACAGATGATCTGCAACTTATATTTACCTAAGTGTCTATACATTTCTTTTATCTACGTTTTCGCTGTGAATGGTTGTTTTTTCTGTATTATCGGAGTTAAATGACTACTATTGCCTCCCTGATGATACCTCTTCCTGGTTTGTTGCTGATAGCACGGATTGAGTAAAATCATGGTTCAGAGATAAGGAAAGCAAGGGCCTCAGTTTGTGTGGTGGATAGCACGTGAATTCCTGTTGAGGGGCGCTCTATATGGACTTGGACAAGTTTTACAGAGAAGAGCATACATTCTCCAAGGTCAACATTGGAGGTTTTGACGCTGAGGTGGGACAATTGTCTTGACAAATGTGCAATCGAGTGTTTTTAACCAACTGGATCGTAGTGTACAAGACTTCCTGAATGTATTGCTCCCGGTGGAATTGATGTTAACAATGTTGTTGTTATTGCTACTATATTGCATAGGACCGTAAGTACGAAGCCTATAAGGACTCTGAAAACTTAAATCTGAATTTCTACCAAACCATCTGAACATTTCACCAGGATAGTGCCAATTTATCGATACCCTCAATTCGATGTGAAAGGGGAACTTACAGCGGTAAACATCATAGGGTCTCCTTCCGTTTTGCACGATAGGCTGCATGAAGATCACCTTCTTCTTTGGGTCTCATTAACTTAGTAAGAATTCAGTCGCAAACAAGTTGAGTTATTGACTGAATTGATTAGAGCGAATATATTACCGATTACCCGTTCTCCAATATTACTATACACTATGAATTCATTTCTATCGATATTTAGTTAGCATGCTCGCGAATTATTATTACAAGCAGAAACCACGTATTTACCTAATTCGATACATTCGATGGCCTCTCTTCATTGATTATGCAGGTCCCAGCATATTTTCCATTCTCCGGAGGTTTGCTGGTATATCCATTGTTGCTCCTGGAGTCCCGAGGACAGCCTAGCCAATTCTCCCCAACCGCGTATTTAGCGGAGGGAAATCGAGTTACTATAACTATTTTTTAAAAGAACTACGAATACATCCACAATTTCTAAACATGTCCATAAAAGGATAAATGATGCCCACATATGAAAATACTAATAGAGTAATAACGGCTAAGTTGAATTTGGGCAAAGATTTAACGGCACATCATGTAATGATCACTCGTAGGGTAAACATACCAGATCTTCAGCATTAAATCAGATAAAAAAGGATGAGCTCTATAAAGCTCTTGGAGTTGATCAGTCCCTGAGGGATGCGCCCTGCATTTGAGTTCATTAAGTACAGCTAAAGGTAAAGGGATTGAATGCAAACCTGGCTTTCACAATGACTTGCGGTGGCCTACCGATGTATAGATCCAGTGCTGCTATTCTCCCAGACAAGTCGTACCATTTTGCCGACGCCGGAGGGATGGAAGGCTTGGTGGGCCATGGGTGCGGGGATTGATTCCACGTGTGTGTCGCAATGGAGCCCTCCAACCACTGCGCCACACGCGAACTTAAATTAGAAGCAGAAAAAGTGGTTTCATGTGGTTTTTGCTCGCCGCACAAAGGAATAACGAAAACGAGCTCTGAAAATATAGCGATAGTTTGAATGTTGAAATAAGTTGCAGCGATTTTCCTCGTCAAATTGTCTTGTTCTTGATTTTTTGGACTCTTCCTTCTTATTCCTTGAATAACCTTTTTCACAACTCACAAAGAACCTTGTTTTTCTCAGCATAGAGGTCGCTTCGTTTGCAATTTGTTAGGTGGACAAGATGTGCTTCGCCGGAAAATCGAAAGGAATTTGAAATCTCGTGTTATCACTTGCACCGTGCATGGAACTTCGACACTCAGAAGCACACCGTCCTCGAGGCTTGATGAGATTGCAAACATCTAGGCAAGGCAGTAATTTTTTACTAAATAATTATTGAATCAGTGGGAGGAAATGAAACTAGAATGAGCCAAGTCTTTAACGATTTAAACTTTCTGAAATCCTGTAATATTTGGTCGAGCACATGCCTCGTTTAGCGCTTCCATATCGTCGTGATGGTTTCCATTAATGGGTACTCAACGATAAAGCGCAACAACTGATATGGATTCGCATAAAGTTTATAACGTTCAAAAATATTTTTTTATTCCACAGGAGCCAGTTTTATGTGTGGATCTCACCCATAGGTTCCCTTATAGTATTCGATTTATTTGCTCGCACTCATCGTCCACGAACATCATGGATGATTTCGCGTGTGGATTCTGTTACTGCTTGACGATTGCCGTCTTTTGTTAATGTCGTTGAATACTCGTAAAGTCGAATATAACTATTGTTTCGAGATAGAGCCACTAGAGCCGTCCCACGTATATCAAAATTAGAGAACTGCTGTTAGAAGAGTCCGCTACCAATTTTCCGACACGGGAGGGATGAGGGGTTTGTTGTGTCCGATTCACGATTGAACCAGAAGTATAGCCGGAATGGACGGCATCATTGCGCTGCCTACCTGTGCCTCTCTGCTCTCTGCGCGTGAATCTAGCTGATGACAGATTAACTAAGTGACTATCGCCAATAGGAATTTCATTTAAAACAGAAGATATCCATCCAATCCAGAATTGATGGGCACACGTGTTGCCCATCGCTCAAGATTACTTAATGTTCACATTACGGCCCTAGTTCCCAGCATGGTCGTCGGACAAAAGGAATAGTTTCTGTTTCGAGCTGTGAAAAAGATTCAAAATGAACTGACTGATTTTCTACCACCTACTTTTGAACATTTTCTGAAGCTAATTTACAGGATGGTGTAGTGGTGAAGTGCGCTGCTCCCCAGTAAGGACAACAGCGCGTGTTCGTTCCCCACTGCATACACCTGTGGTCCGGAGTTTTGCAAGTATCTCAGC